CCCCGGCCCGGAACTGGTCCCCCAGGGGTGGCGACCCCGACCCAGCCCGGCCGTGACGCAGCCGGCATCACCGCCCCAGCCGACCCGCCCGGGGGTCCCACGAGGCAGCCGTCAGGAGTCCCGGTGCCTACCAGCCCGGTGACCTCAATCCCCGGTCACCTCCGCCGCGCAGTCCCTTCCGGGCTGGCGCTCACGCCCCCTCCCGGCCCCTCGCCCGCACCTCACTGCGCCGCTCGCGGTCCCTCGGCCTCACTGCGTGACGCGGCGTCCGGAGAGGAGGTAAATAGTACGCGCAGCCAATCAAAGCGCGCCTCTGGCGGAACAGCTGGGCCTTCTCCGCCATCGTGGTTCCGGGCAGCGGAGCTTCTTCCTCGTCCCGGTTGCTATCCTCAATCTTTTCACTTACACCAGATCGGAAAATTATGAAAAAATAGAAAGGGGATAGAATTAATCTTTTCCGCTGCTTCTTTTTTACCCGAGGGATTTTTGTGCCTTTTAAGTTTACTGAGGTAAATATTGTGCCAAATGTATATCAGCTTCTGAGCAGCCAACCGATTTCCTGAGGTTGACGCCAAAGGTCAGATAGGATGAGAAAAGCTTTCTAGAGATGTTTTCCCACCCGTTTTCATTGCCTCGACCTATGTCCAGCTCAGCCTGGCCTCTCCGCCCGGCCTATAACCGCCTGTCCTACCCCGCGCCTTGCAAAGCAGGGATGGCGCTCCCGGGGGCACCGTTTGTAACGGAAGAGCCGTTTCTCGCCCCCGGAGGCAGTTTTTCATCTCCCTTTTCACTCTCGCCGTTATCTCTTACACGGAATGTTCACCGAAGGTTCACTGAGTCCCAGCCCTGCACTAGGGGACCGCTGTTGGTCCAGAGCCCCTCCAGGGCCGGCTGCTCTGGGCGGGGACAGAATCTGCCTGTGCAGTCAGGCAGCGAGGGCGTCAGGAAGGGAAGGCGGAGGAAACCCTGGAGCCCTGCTCTTACGTAAGGGGATTGACAGGTGGGATCATGACTTCATCTCCTAAGCAAGGTTAACTGATGTATGATAACCTACCATGTAAATATCCACAATAAAGGTTTGCTTCCTAACATGTGAGTCATGAAACAGACAGCTACAGAGTTCTTATCTGTACTCTAAAAGCGGCAGGAAAATACTAGAGAAATCTGTCACAAGATATCGGGGAGATGGGCAAAATCAATTTCATCTTACTTTAGATCTTACCCAGTTCCACTAGTGAGCAAATAGACTGTTTAGCTCCTGTAGAGAGATTCTTTATCCCAGAGCTCCTGTTATACAACAGTACGTGAATAACAAAATACCTTGCAAGTCCAAGTGATTTGCTTCAAGATTTCTATTTATTAAAAGTTTATTCTTGTCATATAGGAAGAAAATCTTTCTGATTCTGTATTTCTGTTCTTCAGATAGGAACTTGCATTGCTTCCACAACAACAAAATATCGTGTCAGACACTTTGAAGCAGAGGAGGGACCTGGACAAGTCACTGGAAGACACACTCTGGCGGTGGTGGGGCGTGAGCAGAGCTCCCGAAGGTAGGGAGACCTGTAAGGAACCTACTGCGATTGTTCAAGCCAAAGGTGGTGACGGGGAATTGAGACAGGAGAGGGACAGAGAGGGGGATTGTGATAGACATATTGCTGAGGTGGAATTTGCAGGGTTTAACCACTGATTGAATACAGGTGATAAGGATGAAGGAGGCATCCTGATATCCTTCTGTTCTGAACTGAATAAAACTGGGTAGATAGTTATGCCATTAATTTAGAGAGAGGATACAGGAAGAGCTACAGAAGTGAGGGAAGTAGATAAGTAAAGTTCAGTATGAAGCGTTACCTTGTAAGTTCTTGGCTCCTAAGGACCTAATGCATGGGGGAGATTAAAAAACAGACATGAATCACAAATGCCAGTGTTCATACTCCACAGCTCTCACTGCGGGTTGCTGACTGCATCCGAGTCTTCATCTCCTGGTGAAGTGCTGGTTTACAGTGGAGAAAAATCAGAGTCAAGGACAAAATAGAAAATATCTTGGTTTATTTTTAGTTATTTTAACAGCTCCCTGTTCCATTAGACTTTCCCATCAGAACACGTGGAAAAGAAAAGGAAGTGGAGACCTCTACCTTCCTGTCTGGGTCTCCCAAGAAAGGAAAGTGAGCCTTCCTGAAAGGCTGGCGAGGCTTCTGAATGTAGGAACCGGGTGGCACCTGCTTCTCACATGGCATTTGCTGAGTGACAGAAAACAGCGCCTAGAAAAAGGAAGAGGCCTTCCCCACCTTGTTTCCCCTTACATTTGAAGTTTTCCAGGTCCGGGCATTCCTAGAATCCCTGAGGTCTTGATAGGGCCAGACTGTTGCTGTGGGTAGGACCTGCTTGTTTGTACCCTCGAGACCCCGCCCAGCAACGAGGGCAGTGGCACTAAAACTACGCATGAGTCTGATACCCAGATAGCACCAGCCGGCCACTGGGTGTGTCACATGACACAGCTGCCTTCTGACTCCGCTTCAGTGAAGGACTCAACTGTGCCAACCTCAAAAGTTAAACCCCGTCCACTACAGAAGGAAAAGGAAATGTGGCTGGGAAGGGCACTTCTGGGTCCTGCTGATGCCTCACGTCACTCAGGTGCACTGGCCAGGAGAATGACAAGTCAGAAAGCAGGCCACTCTCTCTCTCTCTCTTTTTTTTTTTTCTTGTTCATGTAAATGTTTTTCATCCAAGTGGGGCCCAGGAGAGGAGAAAGGGCTTTGAACTCCAATGTGACTGATATCCTGAATCTGACCAGCAAGCTGCCAGACTGTCTTGAACTGACCAGAAGGAAATAAAGCAGCTGTCTGCTCTCAGCTGACTGTGGTCTCAAAAGCAACATTGATGCCAGTTTAAGGAAAACACAGTTAATTTTTACAATCACCTGGCTGGAATTTCTCCAGGTAGTCCTCTTGCACGTGTGTAGCCAATTACTATAAGTGGGTCAGGGGACAAACTCATGGACGGGGTAGTGTCTGTGGAAGGGACGCCTGGAGGAATCTTGAGAATAGCCTTCCATTCCCTAGCCAGGTTACAGAGAAGCTAACATTTAGAAAGGATAATAGCTTTTTTTTTTGCCATTCGTTTTTCTGTTACAGTGTGTGTGCACTCAGCAGAGAGAGAAACAGGGAGAGGGACAGTGAGAACTCACCCCTTGCTCCTTGGGGTGGGGTGGGGGTTGGCCACACCGCAATCCCTTCTTCTCCATTCTCCTCTCCAGGTTTTAGGCATGCAGGCACATGTGCCTCCTGTGATTTTCAAGCTGCTGTGTCTGGAATTTGTGCTGTGTAGTCTGTCATGTTACATCCAGCACCGTACCCTCCACACCACCTGCTGCTCCCATGGCTCGTATCTTTTCTAAAGAAAAAGTTGTCAGGTAAATTGCAGGTCCGTAACTAGAGCATGCATTCTCAGTGGAGGTAATGTCTGAGAAACACCGATCTGTAATGTTGTAACACAAAGGATATAGCCATGGAATTTTTATCAAGAGATCATAAAACCACCTCAAAGAACAGCTCATTGTAGAACCGTACAGAAAAACACTGAAGACTTTGTGACTTATGGTGGTCCACTCTGAACCCAGATACTGTAGGAGGTTTTCTTGTAGGAAGTCTAATTACACTAGTTAGACTTAAATGATCTTGTGAGGTCTGAGGAAGGAAGATCCAAACTGGGTCACAGGAAAGTCATGTCCTAGCCCTGTGCTTTCAGGTGTGTTGGGGTTACAGAAGCGAGTCTCGATCACTCATGGAGGGTGACAGCGAAGGGGCCAGTGCAGCAGACGGGGCCACGTCTCTCGGGGTCTGCAGAGAAGCCGCTGGGAGTGGGCCCATGATCGTGGCAGTCAGGAACGTGAACTGGGGGTGGAATGAGAACAAGTGAGGGATTTAGTCTGTGGTGGTTTTCAGTAAGCCACCCACTTCACTTACTTCTGCCTCCCACATCTCGCCAAGTTTCTGATAGCCAACCCTGAGTCCTAACCATGCAGGGAGAGAGTGATAGAAGACATTTGTCCAGATTAGCTAAAGTGACACAGCATGAAACCACCACGCGTCCTCAGTCACCTGGGGCACATGGTGTTTTGCGTTTGCTTTTTAGTGTGTCTACTTCATTTGTTTCTTTTTCTGCAGGGTATCTTCTTTGCTTTAAGGTGTATGGGCCTGAAATCCTAAACTACCTGAGGACGTCTTGGTTTGGACGACCAATACGGTCTTTCTGAGAACTGTACTGTTAAATTGCAATTTCACATTCCGGGGATAGAGAAGCCAGCCGAGTCGGACTGGTTAACGACCCTCTCCTTACCCAGACAGCGATGGCAGGGTGACAGGGATGGAGACAGGAGGCTGTGCCCTCTGTCGGCTCTCAGAGAAGGAAGCTGGGTTGAGCAGGCCCGTGGAGTATGGCTCCTATGCCAGGAGACTTGAAGTGCTCCTGCTCCTGTTTAGGGTGTGGTAGAGGAGCTGGAAATGCTGAACCTGAGGAGATTGCTTACATGGTTTATGCCGGCTGCCTTCCATGTTTAAAGGGGGCTAAAACTGTTGTGTATGGTCACAAATGACGGACCAGAGGGAAGACAGAAAGGGAGACGTCGGTTCAGATGTGGAACATTCAGTGCAGAGCTTCCAAATGCACCGTGTTTTGCACCGGACGTGTTAGGTGGGGCCTGCACAACCGCCTTCTTAAGACGTTGTAGCAACTCACAAAGTAGGCAGAGGGATTAGACCAACGGTGCGGAGGATCAGCGGTAGCTTCGGGAGGTCATAATGAGGTGAGGGCTAGAGAATCAGGCCACCTCCGTTCCAATCTGGGATCTAGCACCTGCTGGGTACGTCTGTCAGTGTCCTCACGGGTCACGTGAGGCGTGCAAGAGTTCACGGAAGGTATTTTCACAGTGCTTTCCGTGAACGTGTGGGATGGCTCACGTCCTGAGCTCCGGGATGAGGGAAGCCCACTGCAGCCCCCTCTCCTGTTGAGAGCTAAACCCCGGGCTGAGCATAAGCAGCAGCTACCCGAGGAGTCCGTAAAATAAACACCAGCAGGCAGACTAGGGAGAAAAACGACTGTGAAGACGTCAGTTTTGTGGGTTTCTTCCCTGCTGTCTTGGCTCTGTCTTGGGGTAGCATTCAGAGAAAACCCCTCTTTCCGGCTGGGCCGGAAACAAGTCCCAGTTGTGTCACTGTCTCTCACACAATGCAGCGGGGCCACCACCAGAAAGGAACCGAGACCAGTACTCTTCACGAGCACAGACAGAAATGTGCCCCAAATACCGGGAAGTCAAATCCCACAAACGGGGTAGTGCGTCCTGACCAGGTGGGATTTGTCCAGAGACTAAGCCAGTGCTCTTCACGAGCACAGACAAAAATGTGCCCCGAATACCGGGAAGTCAAATCCCACAAACGGGTAGTGCATCCTGACCAGGTGGGATTTGTCCAGAGACTAAAAGGCTGTTTCATTATTACAAAATAATCAGTGTGTTCAGTTGTCGTGAAAGTCCTGACGTATTTTCTATGTTTATCTATAAAGATGCATCATGCCTATCCCAGCAACCCAATAATTGACAACATGAATGTGCTAAAAAAGAACAGCCTGATCAATAGCTTTACCAAAACATTTACAAAATTCAGCACCATTCGTCATAAAAAGTTACAGAAAAATGAGCGGGGCGGGGTGGGGCTCTTTAAAGGAGCATCTCCAAAACTCCTGAAGCTATTACTGTATTTAAGGGTGACGGAATGTCCCCTTCTGAGGTTGGTTACAAGATAAGATTTCCCCTCTCACCACTCACATTCCATATTGTCCAGGAAGTCCTCGCCAGAGAAATAAGGCATAAAAAATGCATGCTGATTGGAAAAGAAAATGTAATACTATATTTGCAAAAAAATCATTACCTATAGAAAAATTTCAGGGAACTCGTGAAAACATCCTGAAACTGTTGAGTTTAACGAGATCACAGAATATATGGTCAATGTGCACATTTATCTATTACATATATTTTTCCTTATAGAGTATATATACTTGCTGAGGGAGAAAGAGAAAAAGATAGAGTGAGTGGAAAAGTGAGAATTCACGCCCCCCCCCCCGGGGGATGGCCATGTCCCATACTCCCTTCTCCTCCTGGGATTTTGGGCACACATGTACATGTACTTAGCATGGTTTTCAAGTCACTGGGCCTGGGACTCCAATCACAGCTGGCCATGTGGGAGTCCTGTGCTATAACCACCATGCTGGCTGATGGTCCCATATTTATCTATTATATTTCTGTGTACTTGGAATAAGCCACTAGAAGTCAAATTTTAAAGACAGTATTATTATTATTTTTTGCAGAGGTTTTTGCTATCAGTGTGTCCTCACCAGAAAGACAGACAGAGAGACAGAAAGGGAGAAATCAGTCCCCAGGGGGGATGGCCACGCCGCAATCCCTTCTCCTCCATTCTCCTCTTGGGATCTTGGGCACGCACACACACGTGCCTGGTGTGAGTTTAAGCCATCAGGTCTGAGACTCCAACCACGGTCGACT